GAGAAGGCCTCACCCTCCCTGAGCCAACCGCAGATGTTGGCCAGTGCAGGGGTTTAAAAATACCAGTGCCCAAGTACCCCCGTGCCAACTGCCCACACAGCCTGCAGGCTGTGCTGCCCACTCCACAGATGCCATCGTGGCCACTGTGGGTGGCTCAAAGGGAACAAAGGGGGGTGGTAAGTCCAGTGAGGTCCGGGGGTGGCTGGTGAGGGGGATGGACATTCCTCAAAGCTTGCACCAGGGAACAGGGCTGTTTACACCATCTGGCCATACCCACTTCTGTGGTCTCCAGAGAGAAGGAGGCCAATTTTGTGCTGTGGATGCTGGAGTCTAACAAGCCTGGAATCAAATGCTGGCTTGGCTATTTGCTGGCTGTGTGCGTTTGGGAAGGTTACTTACCCTCTCTGAGCCTCAGCCTCTACTTATAAAATGGGGTGAGTAAAAGCACTGACTTCCTAAGGCACTTTTGAGAATGTTGTGAGATGGTGCCCACAAAGCAGCTTGGCACAGGGCCTGGCCCATAGTAAGCGCTCAGCACACAGCAGCTGTTCTTGTGGTTACTGCTGTTAGTACCAGGTGTGGCTGGTGTCAGCTAGAACATGATCAGAGCACAACGGAGAGGATAAGAGGATGAGCCCCTGGCTCTCTCTCCTGCCCATCTCCAGAACCCTGAGTCCGGGCCCTTTGGCAACAGTGGAGCTCATGTTCCTTGCCAGACAAGCAGCGGAATCGGGGCCGAGAGAAAGCCCAAACCTAGAAATCACCTACTGCAAAGGAAGAAAAATAGAGCACCCTGGAATGAGTGTCCCCCTGGAGGTTCCCCAGGCCACCTCTGTCCGGTTTTTCAGAAAGGAAACTGAGACCGAGCGAGGGACAGATCTGCCAAGCCCTAAGAAAGCCAGGCCCAAGCCAGGACTCCTGGCTCCCTGCCCAGGGGTCTCTCCCTCCTTCCCATCTCTGCAGGCTACAGACCCAGCCCCCAGATGGGGTCCTGAGTACTCAGCACAGGAACCTGGCGGGCTTGACAGGCGGCTGAGGCCAGCTCCGTTCCCCAGTCCCACTGGGGCCTGCTCCATCCTTACATAACCCACTCTTCCTTACATAACCTGCTGCTGCTTGCTCCAAAGTGGGAGCTCTGGGAGCAGAGCGAGGGGAAACCATGAGCACCGCCACATGAAAACAGGGTCATTAGCAGCACTCGGTCTCCAGTGCCAGCTCAGGGCTCTCCTGCCATGGGCCAGGACTTGCCACCTTCCCCAGGTAGGACCGGAGCCCCACACCTCCATGCTCCAGCATCAGGGAGGGGCGCAGCCTCAGACTCCAAAGTCCCCAGCAGGCTGGGGAGCCCAGAGGATGCCCTGGAGGAAGCACACTGCAGAGCTGAGGGTCCAGGAACCTCAGAGCCTATTATGAGTTGGATTGTCCTGGTCACTAGCCAGCAACTATAGACATATCCGCCCCTGTCTTATCTCCTCATCTGCACAGAGGGACCAAAAGAACCAACATCCTTGGCTGCCGTGAACATTAAACAAAATCCTGCCTGACAGGTGCCGGTAGACAACATCCCCATTTGGCAGGTGAAATCACTGAGGCCCAGACTGGTGATGTGATTTTAGGGACACTGTCCTCAAGCAGCAGCAGAGCTATCCACGGGGTCACAAAGCTATGCATGGACTGGCACTATTGTCCCCATCAGCTAGATGAAGAATCCAGGCTCTGACAGGCTTTGATGGCTTAAGACACATACTTGGGAAGTGGCACAGCCAGGATTTGAACCTAGGTATCTGGCCTCGGAGTCTGAGCTTTACCATCCCACAAAACACTCAGGACCAACAGAGATTGCAGCGAGCTGGAGTTAAGCCAAAGACGGCCAGGACATCCGGGTGTCTGCTCACCGTCTTTTAGAAACACCGCCACTTACCACTTTGTCTCCCTCTAGCTGTGCTGTGTGACCTTGGCCAAGCCCCTGGGCTCTCATATCCCCAGCAGGAAAAGGGAGCCAACACTTACCAGGGTTATTGTGAGGAGGCATTAAGACAGCAAGTTGGAAACTGCTTTCAGCAAGAAAATACCGCACAGCTGTGATTGATCATCACTTCCCCAGCCTCCATCTCCTGAAACTCAGCAGGAACTGGCTAAGGGACACCAGGGGCCTCTCAGCTCCTTGGGCTGTTCAAACACCTCTGCTCTCTGCTGGCCCTGCTCCGGGCTGCTGTTTGGATACAGGGGCCAGATCCCAGCTCCTCTCCAGCTCTAGGGTGTACCAGGCCACACACCTGAGTCACATCCCTCCTGCCTTCCTCCAGAGAGCATTCATTTCAGCTGAGGTCCCGACTGTGTGTCCTGTGGACAGCCTCACACTTGGGCCTGACAATTACCTCCAGGAAGCTGGGGTTCATCTCGCCCATTTCACAGATGAGAGAGCTAAACCTCAGAGAAGTCAGGTCACTAGCGCAGCCAGAATTCACACTAAATCTCCATGCTCCTAACAGTGTCACTGGCCCTCTTCTCCATGAAATGGGCCTTGCACCCATTTTGCAGGGGAAGAGACTAATGCTTGAGAAGACAAAGGCCCTTATCCAAGAAGCCAGAAGAGGAAGGGCCAGCCTGCAGACCCAGGACAGAACCTTTGCTCTCTCCCTGCTGTTCCTCCTATTGGCCAGAGTCTGTAGATTCAAGCTGGGACATTCTGTTCTCTGCGGAAGCCAGACCAGCAGATAGCACAATTATTGGTAGAATGACTGAGTCCAGAGAAGATGAGAAGACTGCCCAAGTTGGAGGGCACAGAGTTCTCTGGACCTCTGTCTCCCAGAGGTACAAGAAGTACCGGACCCTGGATTGGCCAGGGACCCCCATGACGGCCCCTCCAGCTCCAGGAGGTTGTGGCCCAGCCAGAGATCTCCGCTCCCCTGGGAATTCCTTAGGACCCCATTTCCAGGCCATACCCCCCCCATAGAGTCTGAGGTGGCAGAACTAGGGAGGGAGCTGGGAACAAGCTTCCCATCCACCATTACCACGGCACACGGCACTGCCTCAATTTTCTGTGATCGACCAAGTCCAAAATGCCCAGTCTAGGACAACTGACCCACTACCAGATGTCATCCAGTCCCCTGCCCATATTCACAGAGCTCACAGCTGGGGTGGGGTGGTACTCAGAGGTCTGGGGTAGGTCAGAGGTGCTGCTGAGGGGGTCTCTGGTGCAGCGCTTGAATCCTGGATGTGCACTGGGGAGAGACCTAGAGGTGAACACACCTCCATTGTGACTAGCTCTTTAGTTAGCAGCTATTACACAGCACCTGCTAGGTGTCCAGCATGGCTTTAGGTGCTGAGGGCGCAGCACAGCACAATGGCCTTGCCCTTGGGTGGCTTCCATGCCGTAGGGAAAGAAGCTGTAAGCAGCAGCCAATTGGCCTGGCCATCTGCAGCTCTCCACATCCTTCCCCACTGATGACCCCTTTACATTGGACCCCAATGGCCAACTGGAAGCTTAGCCCCCACTTCACAGGCCAGTCACTGAGCACCCAAAGCCACCTCAGCAGCCTGCCCCCCAGACAGTCACCATCCTCCCCAGCCAACCCCGTGTGTCTCTGCTGATTGGAACGTTCCCTGTTGCCACAGCAACCCCCCCTGGAGAGGCCCGGCCTACTTTGCATCCCTGGCTGAGGGCAGGCAGCCTCAAGCCGACCCTGAGACAGAGGGCTGGGGTCGATCCCACTCACTGCCGGAACAGGTCCCACACCGGAGAAAGAATGGGGCTCCCTCATTCAGATACCCAGGCAATGCTGAGAGGGGCCAGACGTGTGCCGATTACTGAGGCAAGCCCTGGAACCAAAGGAGAAATAAGGTCACGGTCCCTGGCTTCACAGGGGAAGCTGACCAATAACCATGTGAAGCTCGCCGGCAAGGGCCAAAGCAGTGACAAAGGCAAGGGCAGCGGTAAGTACTAGATGGCAGCTCTAAGGCCTCTCCGTGCGTCGTCTCCTGTAATCCTCCATCGCCTTTGGAGTGGGTGTAAACATGCTCTCCGTTTTAAAGATGAGGAGACGGAGGCTCAGTGAAGTTAAGAAGATTGTCCAAGTTGATCGAGCTAAGAAGAAGGGGCCAGAAGCCAGACTCCAGGAAATCCTAAGCCCCATCGTGGGGCTCAGTGAAGAGGCCCGGACTCCATCAGACCGGTCCAGTGGGTTTCTCGGGGAACGAATGTGTCCCCCAAGTTATCCCCATAAGAAGAAATGGGAAGATGGTCGGGGACAGGCGTTGTTGCCTAACTATGCTCCTGCGGGGGAGTGGCCAGCCTCCTTGCTCTCAGCCTGGGGGAAGGCAAGTATGGCAGCCACAGGGCACCAGCCAGCTGACAAAAGCTGAAATGCTCCTGACAGCTCCAAGGAGCAGTTTGGGGCAGGCACGTGGATTCTCACCCAGCTGCCCGTCTTCAGGCCTGTGGGCAGAATCGCCATGTACTTTCACACTTATGTAGAGGAAAGACCCTGGAGTGTGACAGCTTACTCATCACAGTTCAGGCACAAAGAGGTCCTCGCTTCCAAGTCAGCCTGCAGGTTATGAGCACAGATCATAGAGTCCATTGCCTAAAGTCATGGCCCGGCTCCCCTATCTCCTAGCTGTTGGACAATGGACAAGTTTTCTGTGTTAGCTTTCCACCGGTCAGCTTTCCATCACTGTAACAAAATGCCTGAGATAAACAGCTCAGTAAAGGAAGAGGTACGTTTGGGCTCCCAGTTTCAGAGGTTTCAGTCCATGGTCTCTTGTCTCTGTTGCTTGGGGCCTGAGACAGCCCAGTACATCATGGTGGGAGCGTAAGAAAGAGATGCTGTTCACCTTAGGGAGGCTTGAAAGTAAAAAAGAGAGACAGGCAGAGTTCCAATATCCCTTCAAGGGCACACCCTTAATGATGTAACGTTCTACCACTGGGCCAGTCATCTAACGGTCCATTCATCTCCCTCTAGCACCACAGGCTGGAGACCAAGCCTTCCTTGGGAACATTCAAGATCCCAATGCTAGCATTACATAATCTCGGCCTCAGTTTCCACATGCCTGAACATGGAGACTAATGCGGTCCTGTGTACGTCATAGAGTTGTTGTAAGTACTGCATCTATCAATACCACCGAAGTTCACAGTGTCTGGAGCATAGGGCGTATAACTGTCAACTCTAACGATTACCTTGTGGCACATGGCTGCAAACGGGTTTACATTTTTGCACAGAGGGACGTGTGCAAGTGCACAAACCTGTGCACACAGTGAAGGCACAGCCATGGCCGAGTCCCCTCTCTGTGGCTTTATATGTGTAAATCTTCCCCCTGTGGTGGATGTGAGCTAGGGGCTGGCATGGGGGGGGTGGCATCTATAGGGAGATGCTGCTAAGCTCGAATGCTGCCAGCACCTGCAGGGTGGGCGCCACACATGCACTTATCCCCATGCACCTCTCATCCTTTGCAAGCACACCTGGGCCTGTGTCTGCAGGGATGGGACACACAATGCCTGACGATTGTTACACATATATTTTTGCTTTATGGTGAGGTGAGGAAGGATCAGTCTGAGTTTTCCACCATGAGAGGTAAAGAAATCTCAGCCTGGAAAATGAAAATCAATCAGCAGGGGAAAATAGTGCTTAAAGCTTAAACCTCCTACCACAGGTCCCCAGGGGAGCATTAAAGCCACAGCCAGGAAAGAGGAACACGATTAAGATTAAAGTCAAGAGCCTGCCGAGGGGGAGTCAGGCCAGCCGTGGGTTTTCTTGATTTCCCAGAAAAGAGGCTGTCCCTGAGGAAGCCACATCTCCTCAGAAATACTCAGAAGCCTATGGGCCCCCAGGCACCCCAACCAAATGAGGAAATGAGTCTTCTTGGGAGAAAAACAAACCCTGCCTGTCCCCACTACCACTTTGGATCTTTCTCAGGTTGGAGGAGTCCCAAAGGGGTCCCAGGAAGGCACTCTTCTGCCTCAGGGATGAGGAATTGGGGGAAAGGAGGCCAGCTGTCCCTGAAGCTACCCACCAGCCAGTATTCAAGACCAGAAGGCCAGGGAGCAAGGAGGGACCCCACTGTGACATGAAGATGACCCCTTCTCTTATTGAGTCCCACAGCATCACCAGGCTCACAAGCACGCTGACTGGAGTAGGCCAGCAAGGGGCCTCTCCACTGTGTCTCACAGGCAAGGCCTAGGCCTGACCTTTTGCGACTCCCCCTTGCCCACCTTACACCCCAGCACCACCCAAATGTAGTTGGTGGGGGGTTGGAATAGGCCACTGCAAAAAAGAACAGCTGTTGAGTTGAAGCCAATTAAGAAGTATGTGCAGGGGCCGGGGATTTAGCTCAGTGGTTCCGCCGCCTGCCTCACAAGGGCAAGGTCCTGAGTTCGATCCCTGGTACCAAAAAAAAAAAAAAAGAAGTATGTGCAGGTTGGCTTGCTGTCCTCCCTCTATTCTCTATTGGCCTAAAAGTAGGACAGGCCCTGACGAAGACAGAAGGTATCCTATTGCACTATTGCACGTGCACGCACACACATCACCAACACCAGAGAGGATACAGGTTAACCCCTGGTGACAATTTGGACTTTTATCAACTGGAAATGTTGATACCAGAGGAAGCGACGTGCGCAAACTTTACAAACTAGCCTTACCTGCCATTATTTGCCCATCCCTAGAGACTCCAAGTCCCTTTCCTTTGTCTTATCCCTTCTCTAAGAGCTTACTGTTTCTTGTTGAGGATGCTATTTAAGCTGGATTTCAAAACCACTGCTCCAGGAACAACAAACTCCCCAGCTGCAACACACTCCCGTGTCTTTCTCTTATTGATCTGTCTTTTGTTAACAGGGGTCTGCTCCAACTAAGAACCTGTGCAGAGGTCGAATAAAAACCCCAATGTGATACAGTAACAGCAATGCTAGTAATAAAATAGTGTGTAGCCTGAAATAGGGCGATCGCAGGTTCCAGGCAGAAAAGACCTGTCTCAAAATAAAAATTTGAAAAGACTGGGGATCAGCTGGGCAGGATGGCACACGCCTGTAATCCCAGCACTCAGATGATTGAGGCAGAAGGATTGCCGAGAGTTCAAGGCCAGCCTGCAGTACACAGTGAGACGGTGTCTCAAAAGGGAGAAAGAGAGAAAGAAGAAGAGGAGGAGGAGAGAAGAGGGGGAAGGAGAGGAGAGGAGAGAGTTAAGTCCCCAGTATGGCCAAAATAAATAAAACAAGTCTGGGGCTCTAGTGCTGCCTAGGGACAAAACCTAATAAGCAGAGATAGGCTTCTTTGCGCCAGTCCAGTCAAAATATTATAGAAGAACTCAGGTGCCCTGGTTGGTAAAGGAATGCTCTGCAGTGGTAAGAGGCTTTTCTGCGGCCCTTAGGAGGTGAGTAGGGCTTAGATCAGTCCTTTGGAGATGGGGATCCGCTAGGTGGGGGGACGTCATGAAGAAAAGAGGGGCAGAGACCAGAAGGAGCTTGGTGTGTCGGGGATGGCATGAGGAGACGGCTGTGCACCGGTCTGGATGGGAGAACGGAGAACGTTGGCTGGCAGAAGGAGAGGTCTAGCGGTGGGCTAGGCCAGATGGCCTGGGTCCTAAACAGGGGTGTCAGGTGGGACAACTGTGAGATTCTTGTCATGTTCGGGCACAAAGGGGTATAGGGCTACTCAGCGGGTATTTGGCATCTTTCTGGAGAGACAGACAGATGGACAGATGGAGGAACAAATGGATGGATGGATGGATGGATGGATGGATGGATGGATGGATGGCCAGGAGAAGATGAAACAGGTAGGCATGATGGAGCTGCATGAGGGCTGGAAACTAGGAGTCTGAAATTCAGGTGCCCGCTCTGCCACTACCAACCATCAGAGGGAACGCCCGTGGGCCTCAGTTTCCCCATGTGTAAAGCCAGGTGACTCTCAAATGTTCTTCACACCCGACAGTCTGTGCTTTTGTTGACAGAGCAGAGGCTTGGGCAAGAAAGTACTGTAAGGAGCAGCTGACAGCAAGGGCTGTGCTCTACTGGTTAAGAAACAGCCTCTGGGGAGGACAGAGCAGGCCTGGGGGTTCCAAGACCTGTTGAGGCCCAGCTCTGCCATTTATGTGATGTCACTTCTCCTCCCTGGACCACAGTTCCTGTGGATACTGTCCAGCATTTTAGGCTTCTGTGAGACTCGTCTGAGGGGTTTAATTTATAGGAGCGAGAAGCTCAGCCTTACCCCTCCCTTACCCTACTTAAGATGTTACAGCAACTGGGGAAAAGCACTTATTCTCACCTCCTGGAATTACCCTTCACTTTCCTGGCAGATAAATGGGGCAAAACAGAAGCTGCCGTTGCATTTAAATGGAGTGAAGCAGGAGGACGTTTATAAGATCTGAATATGCTTTGGGGCTGCTTTTGAATATTCATTTGCCCAGGGGAGAATTGGACAGCTAGATCTATGGGCCAAAAGAGAGGTTATTTAAGGTTTGGGGGAAGGGAGGCACAAAAAACAGGATTGGCAGGAGTCCCTGCTCATCAGGCTTTCAGGAGCAAACTGTGATTCTCCCCCAGTTAAAATGTCACAGGCTCAGAGTAAATTCTGAAAGTTGATACACCTCATGGTTACTGTTGCCATATCAACTGCCTCCCTGTATCCATGTGGGCCAGCGGATCACTGGCAGCAAGACAGACCCAAAGAGGTGAATGATGGGGAATCAGATCAGGACTCTAATCAGGCCCCCTGAGTTCTGAAATATGTCCCAGAATGCCAGAATATACCCTGGGTTTCTCAAACCTCCCTGAGAATCTGAAACAGAGCCCAGAGTTCTGGAACAAGCCTGCAATTATGAAATCTGTGCTCCATTTCCAGAATACTGAACCCAAGGCTTCAGAATACACCCCACATACCCAAGGACCGCCCTCCATTTCTGGCAGTCTCTGCATACTTTCCAGGTATGCACCCCCAAAATGGTAAACTGTGCCTCTGGCTAGCTCAAGCATGCCCTTGGATTCTCTTCTCCTTCTGGAATTGATTCTTCCTGGGAATTGGTTTTCTGAACTGCCTGGATTGTAGAATACAATACAGTATTGGAAAGGAGGTCAGTGTAAATGACCTACAGGTTAAGCAGACCCACCACCAACAAGCCCACCACAGTGGCTGTCTGTCCCAGCACCCTGAGGACATTCCATGCCCTGCCTTGACCTCCTTGGTGTGGCTGTGTCATGGGTGAGTAATCCTTGCTCTCTGCCAAGGCCTGGGGTGACCATTAGCACACCAGTCCTGTGCGAGGGGTGCTGAAGTGCTCCCCCAAGTACTCCCTGGGGCCAGGCTACCCGAGCAGGAGTTGCTGAGTTTAGAAGCCTCATCCTCCCTGTCTGTTGGGGGTGGCCTTCCTGTCCTGTCTGGTGACAGCCAGCCCCTATGCTGGGAAGACTCAGCACTGTCTCATAGCTTCCTTTCTTTCTTCCCCGCCACACTCACTGCTGAATGGGCTGCGTTCCAGTTCTTAGCTCCTGGATCCCACCCCGAACACCATCCCTACCCCTTTGGTCCAGGCCTCCTCATCTCTCAGCCTCCTCCTTGGTCTCCCTACCTCTAGCCCCACCCTGTCCACCTTCTGGCAGATGATTTCACTGTCCTGCACACTCTTCAGGGCCCATTCCCACACACTGCAAATAAGGCCTAGGCATCTCCCCTTGGCATTCAAGTTCCAAAACATGACCCTGTCCAGCACCTCCCTTTGAATCTCCTCTTTCTCCTATCAGCCAGACTGGCTCATGGCTGTCTGGAAAAGCCCTCAATCCCCCCATCCCAGACCATGGCTTCTCTTCTCTTCTTCCTCCCGGAGACCCTCTGCTCCTCTCTAAATCTCCACACCAGTTTAAGTGTTGGCTAAGGGCAGGCGCTCAAATTCAAGTGGTTTCGGGCTAGGCTTTAGGATGCCCTAATTAGGGGTTGGGGCTCAAAGACTGCAGGAGAAGGGCGGTCCTGGGGTGGTCCAGTCTGTGAGCCATCTGCCCAGCCCCAAGCAGCCCAGCTTGATCTGTTAGTCATTCGCTTACTTACTCATCCATTCATCAGATGCATTTGTTTTTGTTGTCTTTTTGTTTCCAATTGGGGTCTGGCTATGCTGTCCAGGCTGATCTCCCAGAGCTCCACCCGCCCTATCCTCCAGAGTGCTTGGATGACAGGTATGCACCCCACAGACCCCAAATCGTTCCTGCGAGGCTTACCAAGCACCTTCACTGTATTGGTGCTATGGATAGAGCAGAGGGGATGGAGGGATAAAGCCTCCGTCCTCATAAAAGTTGCAAGCAACTGGGAACAATAGACAAGAAGTGTGTCAAATTCAGACACAAGGAACTATAAAGGAGCGATAGCACCCAGGGCACACAACACACACAGTAGGGTGGACACAGGGGACAGAACTCCTCGGGGGTGCAGGATATCATTAGACAGCCTGGCCGGGGAAGTTCTCTAAAGAAGTGACATTTGAGCGGACCCTTAAAAGATAAGCAAAGATTGCTCGAGGGAAAAGGCATCCTGCAGAAGGAAGGGCCGGTGCAGGCTAGGACAGAAACACCTTCAGAGCATGGGGCCCAAAGCTACAGTTCAGAATCGGGACTAGCACATAGTAGCACCTCACCCCAAAAAGATACCAAAAATCAGTGTAGATTTTTAAAGGGATTTAGCTCAGTGGTTCTGCCACGTGCCTAGCAAGGTCCTGAGTTCAATCCCCCCAGTACCAAAGAGAAAGGGAGGCCAATAAAGTTGTACAACGTGAGACTTCCGTAGCCCATCTCACTGGAAGAAACTGAATTTTGCTGCGTAAGAGATAGGTAGGGGAGGAGCTGGGGTATAGGTCAGCGGTAGAGCAGAGCGCTTGCCTAGCATGCTGGGGCCTGAACTTGATTCCCTGCACTGTGGGGAAACAGATGGATCCATAGATAATCCACTGACCCGGCCTAATCCGGCCACTTTGCAGGAAGAAAAACTATGAGAGCTGGAGGCAGAGATGGGACCGTGGCAAGGGTCTCCAGATGCTGCCATGGGCATCAGGCATCACCACTGTGAGCAAGTCACCCAGCACAGGCCTCCTTGGCCTTTGCTTCCCCCGAGACACAGTGACGCTGCTGCTTATCCGGCCTCGCTCTACCCTGCACACAGGTGAGAAGCATGGATGAGGTAATGTCTCCCAGGCCCACCCAGCTCCTGGAAGCAAGCAGCCAGACAAATAAAAGGCTTTATTGGATTTGTTAAACATCCATCCTGTGGCCAAGGGCCTCCTGGCACCAGGCAACATCACAGAGGAAGAAAAGAAATTCAGATGATGAAATTAAAAGGCATTTCATTTTCAGAGCCAAGGCTGACACACTCAAGTTGAGAATTCCTCTCTCTCTATCCAGCCTCCTTTGGCCAGGTCTCCTGCACACCCCCACCCCCTCCACCATGATGCAACCCCTGTGGGGGAGGGCACAGCTCACGAGGCCTCCTGGGCAGCTGTCCTGAGATACCTGACCCAGGGGTCAGGACCTAGAGGGATCCAGAGAAGGAAGAGTATGTGAGCCGTACAGAAGAGGCCATGTCACCCTTCCCACTGCCAACAATCTGAACTTGATCACCTCTTCCACATACACGAGCAGGCCCCTAGCCAGGTGTGATGCCACATACCTGTAACCCCAGCACTCCAGGAGGCTGAGGCAAGAGAATCAAAAGTTCAAGCCCAGCCTGGGCAACGTAGCAGGAGACCCTGTCTCTAAATAAAGAATAAAAGGGTCTGGGGATATACTTCAGCACAAAGCTCTAAGTTCAATCCCCAGTACTGAAAAATAATTTTAAATTAAAAAAAAAAAAAAAACAGCAGAGTTCAACCGGGGACAAGGCAGCTCAGACCAAAGCTATAGAAGGAAGACCATGGAAGGGACAAGGAAAAGTCAGACAGGCAAGGGTCAAGTTCTAGTCTCCACAGACCAGCTTGGCAACCTTGGGTCAGTCACCCCCACATGCCTCGGTTTCTTCTGCCGCAAAAGAGAGAAAGTGACCATGGTAGCGGTGAAATGAGACACTTTGGTGCAAAGCTCCTGGCACACAGTAGGCACAAAAACGAAAGCTATGTGGTTCTTTAGAGGTCCCTGGAGCCGTTTTGCATGTGACCTCCACTGGCTGCAGGCCAACTCTGTTTTTCTACTCCCCACCCCCACCCCGGGCTCACCACAGTACCCCAGATCTGATCAGAGCAAACTATTTGCGTGCAATTACGTTGAATTGCATAATATTTTCACAGCTTCCCTCGAGGCATTGCCTAATTTCTCTCTGCTCATCCCTCTCAGATCAGTCAGGCCACTAGGACTGATGACTTGCGTGTTAACAGACGGTGTCACTGGAGGTGTGTGTGTGTGTGTGCGTGTGTATGTGTGAAATGGATGTTCCCAAGGCCAAGGTTGTCCCCTCCTGTCTGTGCTGCCTTTGAGAAAGGAGGAGTGGGGACTGACAAACACCACAAGGAAACAAGAGTTTGCAGATTTCTTTAGAGGACATCATGACATTCACCACTAGCTCTTTTCAATGTTTCTTCCAACAAACATCAGTTGAGCATTTACTGTGTACAAGGCAGTGTATTAAACAAAACAGACCTGACGGGGCTCGCTGATCAGGACTACAGGTGGGAAAGTGAGATAGATCTATGATCTGTCCAGTGATCTACTTCGAGGGGTGTGAGTCACTGGCACAAAGTCAGCCTAGAGGGAGCCGAAGGTGAGTCCCGGGGTCACCTTTGGGCCTTCTCATCAGGGATGTGATGACTGAGGGATCCCAGCTGCAAGCAAGCTCAGGGCATCCAGGCACAGTTGTTCACCGAGCCCCGACTCTGTGCCAGGCCCTGATCCAGGCACTGGGGTACAGTGGAGAGCAAGACCAGAATCTGCATTCTCCCTGAAAGGATGCTCCTCCTCCCCCACGGGAGGACTAGACAAGCAGAGTGCTGTGCCTTGAGATTAGGTCCCAGCATCCAAAAAGGAGCCTGCAAAAAGACCCTAGGCACTCCAGGCCCCTCCACAACAACTGAATCTTGGGCAGATCTCTCGCCCTGAGACCAGCCACCTAGTCGGTCACACTCTCCCTTCCTGTCCCAGACAAAGGCTGTGACTCAGAAGCAAGTGAGGTGGACGCTTCACTGTTGACAAGATCACCCACCCATTACGGGTCATCCCTGTTGGTCATTCAGCAAACCCTTATCAATATCGCACAGGGAATGTGACACCTAAGTCACCTAAGTCAGAGCACAGGCCTTGGAGACATCAGGCTAAGATGTGCGACTGCGGCTGTGTGTCTAGAGTTGTTCCCCTTACCCTCTGAGTTTGTTCCCTTGCAGGGTTAATAACAGAACTACATCAAGGTTGGTGTAAGCGCTCATTAAAAGATTAACTATTATAAACATACTCACAAAGGGGCCGGGGATTTAGCTCAGCGGTTCGGTGGCCTGCCTTGCAAGTGCAAGGACCCGAGTTCAATCCCCGGTACCAAAAAAAAAAAAAAAA